TGTAGGTTTGTGGCCTTGAAATAAGGTAACAATGGGTTCATTTGCATGTTACCGCTTGCATTTCTTTTTTTGACAATTAGATTGTTTTTAGATTAGTTTTTATAAATTTTGAAATTAATTTTTCCTCAAGCAATTTTAAAAATAGAGTTTTATGTTGGTTTGATGCATTTAAAGACATTAATTTTGTTAATTATTAGCACAAAAACTTGAATTTAGCTTACAAAACATACTCACATGTATATCCAACTCTCTGACTTATTTTGGTATGTGAGAATGACAATGGGATCTCACATCTTGAATTCTTAGTATGAGAATTCTCGTGGAAATTTTTGACATGGGCAAAATTTGTCCCCATTACAAATGGATAGGGATTTTTGCCCTCTGCCAACCTATATTACAAAATTAATTTAATTATTTTCCTTTTATTATTTTAAAACAAATTGTTTTAAAGATTTGGGTTGAGGCCGAAGAATGTGTTGGGTTGAGTTTGATTTGAGGTAATAACACTTTAGTATTAGATTAAAATTAAAAATACATTTTTGTTTCCTCATCTCCCTAAAAACTAAACAAGTTATAAAATTATAAAATTGTTAATTTTATGAAAATAAAGTTTTTATTTATGATACAAACTTCTTAGCTCTTAATGTGCTAAAATTTTAATAATTTTAAAATTGTTTAAATTATTTTATCATTAATTAACATCTTTATAAAGAGAATGATATAGTGTGCTTTTAATCATTAATGAAAGAGTAGTTTCTAATATCAAGATTCCACCCTCTCTATTAATTTTTTTTGATAGATTATCAATTGTTAAATAAAACGCAATCCACTTTTATGCCTTTACAAAAATCTCAAACCAAAAAAACAATAAAAAGGAAAAACCAAAGAGTCCATACTCATTATTCATATTTTATCATGGACTGAAAGAGAAAATTTTGAAATTCTATGGACCGAAATGTAAATCTTACGTAACTTTTGTTCCGCGCAAGGGTTCTAGCCTTCTAGGGCGTTCCGGGTGACGCCACTTCCACACCTCACTTCAAACTTGCTCTGTTTTCCTCCATTTCTCGATTAGGGTTAGGTTCTGCGAGGAAGAAGAAGACGAAGGAGAAGAAAAATTAAGAAGGGAATAGGAAAAATGGGGTTCTCAATGCAGCCATACGGGATTCAGGCTATGCTGAAAGAAGGCCACAAGCATCTCTCTGGTCTTGAGGAGGCAGTTCTGAAGAATATTGATGCTTGCAAGGAGCTCTCTGCTATCACACGCACTTCTCTAGGCCCTAACGGTACTTGTTTCTCTGTGATAATCCATTTTCTGGATCTATAACTGCCTTTTTGATTCATTTGATTTCTCTAAGTTTGGTTTTTCTTGTTCTTGCTTTTCAAGGGTTTAGCGTAATATAGCTGATCTACTGCAATTTAGGGTTTTGTTTCGTTTTTCGTGTCTGGGTTGCATGATGTATCAGAAGGAGCAGTTCCTAATTTCTAATTTTAACCTATACACTAATCAGATTTTTTTTTTCCTGAATGTAGCTTAGTTATAACCATTCTATTGAGCAATATGTGGTAGATTTTCTTTTGAGAATTTAATGGTTTAAAATGGCTCTGGATGATACCATAGTTTTATTTTGCAAATTATTCAATAATTTTTGATTTTTTGGATTTGAAATGAATGAAACAGAGTATGGTGTTGGAATTACTCACTGTTAAGAGAGCAAATCAGTCAACGTAAAACCATGAACTTGTTACTTTCCCCCATTTCAG